TCTAGGTAAAAAGTCGAAGAAGATAGAAATTTATAAGTTGGTAGGATTTTCAGTGCGAAGAAGTTGAGAAGGAAAGCAAGAAGATCAGCAAGCGAAGATCCATTAGTCAAGAAAGGTCTTAAAATTCTCAGAAATCTAATTTATGATTCACTCTGCATTTTTTTTTCTCACTTTTATGGCCAAATTCTTGCATTCATGTTCTTATGAGATGAACCATCGATTTATTCACTTGACTTCGACTTTAGACAAAATTTTGAAAAAAAAAGTTCTATGATCTGGCCTTTTGTTTTCATCGATTGAAGCTTGTTAGACTGCATGCTTCATTTTCAACCATAATCATTATCTATTGTTTTTGTTTTATCTTTATATTTTCCTATACCTTACATTTATTTTATTATTTTTATTTTGCTCCCATAAAAAAAGTTTATCGATAACATCTTTTTGAAATTCAATCAGTCAAATTTTTTAGATTTAATTAATGTTTATAGCACTTTTTTTTTATATATATTCAATCAATTTTATATTTTATTTTTCCTAAACTTTTCATATCCACATCCATAAGGAACATTAATATTATATATTGATACAAATAAACAAACCTAAACAAATCTTAAATATTAACGGACAATATGAAATATATTTTTTTAAAAAGTAGAATAAATGGAACAAAAACACTTGAACTTTAATTAGATCAAATACTAAAGCTTTGGGAGAATTTTTATGGTTATATTAATGGTTTGGTTTTTTTTTTCTAAACGAAATTAGAAAGATAAAAGTTAAAAATTTTGAAATGTATCAAATTAAATTATAGAGTTCTTCAACCTATGATCTTAAATATTGAGCAGCACTTGGGTTGGTAAGGAGTGCAAACAAAAGTGCTACATTGGTTAAGGAATTAAATGAGTGATTCATGGTATATAAGGAAGGACAATTATCTTTATTGGTACGAGGTCTTTTGGGTGAAAGAAAAACAAAGCTGTAAAGAAAAAGCAAAGTTGTAAGGACTATGCCCGAAGTGGACAATATCATACCATTATATGTTATGTGGTCTCCATGTCCCATTTTGTTATTTTTTCTTAGTTTGATGGACTTCACTCTAGAAAGTATTGTTGGTGTTCCTATGTCAAACAGTTTTACATTTCTATAATGGTATAATATTGTTTATTTTGGACCGTAAAGTTGCATGATTTTTTAAGATCGAAACAAATATTACAGGGCATTGTTAAGGAACACTTAAAAAAAAATGATAGTATTTATATTTGTATAGTACACTTTTTTCGATTGGTCCATTCATAGGAACTCCCAAGTAAGTTCCTTGCATGATTTAGAGCAATTTTAGGGTGACATTTTAAGGACTTTTATTAAGGACCTATATCCAAAACACTCATAGTTTTATTTTGTTTAAAATACAATTTTGGTTCCTGTATTTTCAGTTTTGTTCATTTTTGTCAATAAGGTTCATTTTATTTCCTATACTTTTGAAATATTTGTTTTCGTCTTTGTACTTTAAAAAAGTGATCATTTTAGTCCCTATCTTAAAAATGTTAATACAAATTATTTACATAACGGAAACCTTCTAATATAAAGTAATTGTTACATTTTAAGAAATATATTAACTGTAGTGTCGTGTTGAAAGTGTGATAAAAAAAAAGTAAAAAATTAAATTAAATTAAGGGTTCAAAATGGTCACTTATGAACAAAAGTTGAAAGTACATGGACCATAATAAACATTTTGAAAGTAGGAGGAAAAAAATGAAGCGTAGTATTTGAACCTTTTATTTTATTTATATACTTTTTTTCTTTTAATGTTTGGCCTTCTTAGACTAAATTAACATGTATATTGTAAATGAAAGTAGGGGAACAAAATGAACCATAGTATTGGCACTTCCTTTCTTAAGGTTGGAGATTCAAACCCCGTATTTGGCCCAATTTATTGTTCTAAAAGAAATGGAAGTTGAGTTTTAAGATCCTCCTGATAATAAATTAAAGAAATAGTGCACCCAAGAATTTAATCATTTTAATTAAGATTTAATATATTTTGATGTACATTATTGATTTTATTCTCAACTGGTTTCAAGAATCGATGAAGACAGCAGTGGGTCCTCGTTCAAACCCTAAACCTCTTTCATGCCAAAGGAGAAGCCATGCAAGCAAATTCACAACCATACTGAAACCGGCTATCGTCAAAACCAAGAAAGCAGAACTCAAAAATGGTGTTGGTCCACTTGGTGGTGGGTTTGAAAATGCCACCAAAAAGACAAGTCAAACCTCCCAATTCAAAAATCCGCCAATTGGTAGTGGGTCTGAAGATGCCACCGAAAAGACAAATCAAGCATCTAAATTCAAAACTCCGCCTGTTGGGAAAAAAATATAGATCAATCCATCCTCCGGTAAGTTCTTCAAATAGGAACTATTTGATTTTCTCTTTCCACAGGCTAAAAGCAGATAAGTAAGTAACAATAACAAAGGAATAAGAGATAGAGATAGAAAAGCTTAACACCACACAGATTATACTGGTTCACCCCTATATTTGGACTACGTCCAATCTTCTGTGAAAAAGCAGGTTCAACCATAGTTGAGAATATTACAATGGAGATCTCACTCAAGATATTACTATCTTGCTTCTAAGTAGCCTAACAATGGTTACCTAGAATTACACAATTGAAAATACCCTCACTAAAACCCACGGGATACAAAATCTTTTTTTCACACACTGCCCACAACCACTCAGTCTCTCTTATTTGGATTTTGTACAAATGAAACCTTAACAAAAATGTTCTATTTATAAGAGGCCAAATATGACAATCTTGGTAGGAAAACAATGTTGTAATCCTTATAAGACAATAATATCCTACTCCTTGTAGGAATTGGTAGTAGTGTTGAAAAATCTTTTTTCCTCGTAGGATACGGTCATCTGTTTTGACTCCATTATCCCAACACCGCCAATTGGTGGTGGGTCTAAAAATGCCACCGGAAAGACAAGACAAGCATATGAATGCAAAACTCCACCAATTGGTGGTGGTGAGTATGGAAATGTCACTAGAAAGATAAGTCAAGCATCCGAATTCAAAACTCTGCCTCCGATGTCACCCACAAGGGCTACCCGGGCTTGAAAGCCATATTTGGTACTAGAATTTTGAAAGCTCAACAGACACTTTTCAAGTCTGGAAATACTGCCACTTGTGTTGCCTAAGACATTCTCTATAGATAACAAAGACGAGCTGCCAAAGAAGCCCTAGAGAAAGTCAAACCAGTGTTTGGTTTTAACGAGAATCTTGATTCCATGAGGGACTTAGAACAACTAATTAGAGGAGGCAACAAGTAGCTAGCTAGGCAGCTAGAGATAGTTAGACAATATGTATATATTGATGATGTACTTCGATACATACATTATTTTTTAGTCTTTTCATGTTTAATGACATATATTTTGGTGTGGGTTAGATGATGAAGATGCTAAGATTGTGTCAATATAGTTGGGATGATCGGGTGCATCTACTGATTTCTTATCATCAAAAATTTATTTTGTCCATATAGAATTGAGAATGAGTGAGACTGATGGAATGAACAAGAAATTGATTGAATTTTTAAGAAAAGTAGGACGAGTGGTCAAAGTAGAAAGAAAGATGGATGGTAATCGGAATCTTTTCCATTTGCATGGGGAAGGACAATAATGACACCCTCTCCATGGGAAGCTTCCATTTCTTGAATGAGGGAAGGTGTAGTGTTCGGAGTTAAAAAAGAATCATTCAAGAGAGATCTTCCGTAAATTTCAATAATAATAATAAAAAAATTAACACATTTCTATGTGTCAAAATCTTATATATGTTCAAATTTTATTTCACATATTTCTTTTTAATAAATTGTTTTCGCACTCTAAAATTTTTTTCTTGGTCTAAATTTCTATCAATAAAAAGTTTATGTTCTCTTTCTAATATTTTCATAATTTACTATTATTTCTCTTTTTCTCAAATTTCTATCTCTATATATTTTTATTTCTTTTTCTCTTCTACACCACTCTCATTTTTCTCTCTAAAACTTTATTATTTTCCCAAAATTTTCTCTTTCTCAAATTTTAACCTTTATTTCTCTTTCTAATCTATTTTTTTCTTGTAAATATATTTCCAATTTTTCTCTATCTAAAATTTTTCTCTTTCAATTTTTCTCTCTTTTTACTCATTTATTTTTCTGTAACAATATATCTAAAATTGTTTTTGTCTAATTCTTTTTTTTTWTTTTTTTTTACTTTTGTCTAATTTTTTTCTTTCTCTAACATGTATTTTATTCTCAATTTTACTCCCTCTCTAACATTTTATCTTTTCGTCTATAAATTTTCTCACTAATTTTTTTTCTCTAAATCATTTTCTTCATCTCTCTATTAATCAATAAAATATAAGGTTTATCTTACTAGTTGCAATATAAGGTTTATCTTACTAGTTGCTAATGTGCTAAAATTAAACCGTTAATCAAGGTTTAAGTTTAATATTTGATTACTAATTAGTTAAGTTAATTATTGATTTATCAGTTTTGTTTTTTAGTACAGTTAGTTACGTTTCCCTTACGTTTCCCTTGTTTCTCGTTTTCAATTTTCTTGAAAAATATAAACATTTTACAACTAACCATATTTTTTGTTTCTCATTTTTTTAGAACATTCTCAAAATTGTATATAAATTTTGAAAACAACCCAATCAAGTTTCTCTTTTCTTATTCCCATTTCCAAATTTGTTCCACAACATAAACAAAAAGATTGTTTTATCATACTTCAATTTAAGAATGTTGGAGCTATGCAAATCATTTTTCTTTATTAAAAATGAAGAAACAAGAATGTTACCAAACGAACCCTAAACTTCTACACAATAAATGTTTCTTAAAAATGAGAAAGGAGAATAGAAACATTTATTAAATGTTTATGTTTTTCAAAAATTAGAAACCAAAACCAATCTGTAGATCAAAGAATCATGATACCAAAACCAATCTGTAGATCAGAAAATGAACAACAAAAATACAGGGGAGCAAAAAATCAGAAGACAGTGCATTTGAACAATGAATAAGAAGTGCCACAGAGCCACATGGTTGAAGACCATAAATAAAGATGATAATTACAGACTCACCCAACCTTATTCCCTCAGACTTTTGCCAACCATTGCAACAACTCACTCTCAAATAAACTCAGAAATTCAAAGGAATACAGATTCTCTAGTGACCGACCCGATCACGCCCATGGCGTTCGCCATATTTACACGATCCTGCAGCACCTTTCCTTAGACTATATAACTCTTAAGTGTTTTCCTTTTCATTTGGAACGTTTAGTTCACATATCAATTCTGCAATCCGGGCTTAGCAGATTTCTTTGAAATCGACTTGGGTCTGTCGTTGATGGACTTGGTAGCGGTCACTTTGCCTGCAGTTCTGTTCGAATTCCTGACGGTTTGATTTTGACTCCCAGGATCTGCAACTGTTCAAACCAAATGCAGACCAGAGGTTTGCTTAAATCTTCATTATAAAAAGTTTAAGGGTAAAAAAATTAAAAAGAATCAGCTTGAAATGTTTTGATAAGCTCCAGTAAGAAGGAAGTTTTATGTATTAATGTGATATACACTGATCATATAAATATTTTAAGCTATTAATAAGGTTTTAGTTCTATTTAGGTCAATTTGAGAACCATTTTATTTTAGCTTATAAACATTACTTCGACCTTTGTATTTCTTTCTTTTCTTTCTTTTATGATCTACTTTTAAAAAGGTTTCCAAAATCTAAGCCAACTTTTAAAAACTAAAAAAGATTTGTTTATGAAATTTGACTACGAATTCAATTGTAATTCAAGAAGGATTAAAAACACATAAAGAAATGGTGAGGAAGCATGTATAATTTTTAAAAACAAAATCGTTATCAAATGGGACTGACTTTCTATCATCTATTTTAGTACATTAACCTTGGATTAAAATAATCATTTTAGTCTTTCCTGTTAATTTTTTAACAAACCATCTATCAGAAACCTAACGTGGACCTACATTTCTCTTTCATTTATCCTATCAATAGATGTCAATATGGACAAGCGAGCCCAAATGAGGGTTGCTAAGGGTAAGACCATAAACATAAGCTTTACCCGATAAAGTGTACCAGGAGGCAGCTATCGTTCTTCTTAAAGGATTATCTATATTTGAAGGATAAGATAGTCAATAATCTCAAATAGGAAGAAGTTTCCAGAGTTTTCCCTCCGACTTCTAGAAAAGGAGCAAGATGTCTTAACTGCTAAACTAAGATTATGTTTGCTTCTATCTTTCTTCAATTATTTTTGAAAAAAGAGTTGTTCCAGTTGTAGAGTACCGAGCATAACCAACATATCCCTCGATCATCCCCAAAACTGGTGAAGTGGAGACCTACCTACACATTGTTTCAATCCTACAACTCCTCTTTCTACTCAATAAAATATCTAACAGTAATTGCTAATTGCTCTAGATATGATTATTTGATATATCAGGTATGGCTGTTTCAAGATCTTAGCTCACAATAATATCAAATATGACACAACAGACGGATAAACATGCATATAGAATGAGACACTGATAGTAAAAAGAGTTAGAAAACTCACCATTGTTAGGCATGGATAATCGCTTCTTTGCATTTTTGACCAATGGTGTGGATCTCTCTTTCGGATTGCTATGGGATCTTAAACCAGTATCAACTCTAGATTTGACTTCTTCAAATGGCCTCTCAGGGGCAAGTTTATTCTTGGGCTTTTGAATCTGTGCACTAGATACCTCTATAGTGCCAGCTGACTTAGAGGGTGATGATGAACCACATCCATCAGAATGTGAGGCAGCAGTTTTTTGGCTTGAGAGGTTTGATTGATCAGTCACTAAGTTTGTTTTCTTGCCAGTAGTTCTTTGATGAGATTTAGTGTTACTTTTGGCCTCAGCTGATCCGTCTTCACGAATCATCACTCCATCTCTGAGATTAATATCGAGAAAGCGGTTTTCCCATGGACGAACAGCCATCCATCTTTCCAACCAGTTCCAACCCCAGCTGCTTTTATCTGGTTCAAACTGAGAGAGGGCAGCCTGCTGTCTTGATCCTGCTTGCCACTGGAGTTGAAAGAATTGATCAGATCTATGCATTGAATATTAAGATTGAAGCAAACACTGAAAAACCAGGTTAAAATAAAATTTGGAGAGAGATAAGAATTTACATACTATAACCGAAACCCGAATTCAGTCCAAGAATCAATGAGCCTGAAAATTTATACTTCCAGTGCAACTACACTACATTCTTTTCTCAAGGCGAACAGTATTGCCTCAATCAAGCACCAAATAATATAATTGCAACAAAATTCTCAAAATCATAATTTTTGAAACAACATAGAATATGTTGTGTAGTACTTTCATTTGAGCATTTGGAAGGATCAAAGAAATAGGATATGAGCATGCACTCAAGTTTTGTGCTATAATGAGCTCTCTTCAGCTAATGAGATTCTTTCTCAATTTATTTGAACAATACACAGAAAACCAGAGGCAAAGGTGCAGATTTACCCTTTTATTCATAAGAGTAAGAGGTCTAAATTCTCATCCAATGTAAAATAATTCTTCTGGAAAAACACCTCTTTCTTTTTTTTTTTTTTATAACTGGAAGTTGGAACTTTGCTCCCTATACCCAGGGGCACCCATGCCTGCCCCAAGGCCCAAACCCGGGAGACATCAAGGATTTTTTTGGTATTAAGCTCACCAGAAGGTTCGAACTTGAGACCTCTAAGCCGGTATGACAAAAAGAGAAACCAGATTTCAGTTAAGAGGATGAAGGATTAAAGCACAAAACATTCTCCTATTATAACAATAAGTTAGAAATGAAGTTAATACATAGAGCAGATGAGGGATGGAACTATTCTACCTGATGAGCCAGAGCATATGCCATGGCTCTCTCACGTTTAGCTGCAGCCTCCTGCCTTTTCAATAATTTTGTTTGAATTTCTTCAACAGATCCAACACTGTCGCACCAACCTTCCTGTATCATAACCAGGATTAAAAAATGAAATGGTTGTCAAATGGAAACAGGGCCTAGGAGTCTCACAGAAAGCATTTGGCTATCAATTAAAAAACACTTTGCAATGGTAAACTAAGTGTTGCAGCCTCTACAATGAATTTTATAGCTTACTGATATTAACTTATTAATCCTTGTTAATACAACCCTTTTTAAAATAAGGTATAGACTTTCATTCAACATTTTTGTGCCAAACAAACTGAAACAACTCATTGACAGCAGTCATTCAATGGTCTGGTCAAATTCAGATTTCGTTTTCTCAGACACATTAGAATATATCAATAGAACTAAATTGTGTGTTGATATTATGAATTCCATACAAACGTACTGACGCCAAATTCAACATAAAGACAGAAATATCATTCTACATAGTTACCCAATACGTTTTTTGATCAAAATGAAAGAATACAAAAGGGTATACAAAAAGACCGCCCTAGCAAAAGGAGTCAAACGAAACAACCTCCCAAGATCTCTCCACCCCTCTAAAAGTTCTATTGTTTCTCTCCATCCATAAACCCCATAAAATAGCACAAATCCTGTCAAGCCAAAGAAAACGCCCCTTATTACCCAACAATTAATCTAACAAATTATGCACATGAACATAATGAATCAGCTTTATAAAACTCAAAATACAAATATCAAAATGAGAAACGTGGTAGAAGCATCTAAATGTGGCTGTCTTGTCACATAATATTCATCCCGCAAATCCTAGACATACATATTCACAACATTCCCACATGTAAATGTCAACTAATCTCAAATTTATGACTACAACAACGAAAATGGCTTGACCGTCTAAAAAGGGTCTAGTCTACTTAAAAATGAAAACAACAAGAAATGCACATACAAGAATACAATGTTACATGATAAGTTGCTTATTTCTTACTTCAATTTCTCGAACTCGAGCCTGATTTTCAAGATGTTGTTGCAGTTTTTGTTGTGCGGTTTCACTCTCCAATGCAATACGTACACGCCTTGCTCGAACACGAGCCTGTACTCTCACTAAAGCTTGCATACAGCGAAGAGTTATTGCAGCTTGTTTTCTGACAGCATGACCCCTGACAAGAGCTTGAAGTCTAACCAATCCCTTGAGAGCTCGGAGAGCTCTTCTGGCCTGAAAGGTAGTGAGAAAAATATTCGAATAAAAAAGTTAATCAGTGGCATTTTTCATTAAATGATTTGTACAGAAGTATAGAATAAAGTAGGCGAAATACAAGCAGAAATTACTACTAGCAATACCAGAAATCCTCTAAACATTGTTTGGATGCGTATGGCAGCCTGTTCTTCTATATTGTTCTGACGACTTTGCAATGCATCACATGTTTGAAGCGAATCAGAAAGAATAGTAGCAACTTCAGGATCCGAAAGAGTGCAGGACTCTCCAACAAATGGGGTAAAATTAGAATGAAAATCATGCTGAAGTTTTTCAGCATCTATATCGACAGAATGCTTTCTCCGATGCCAAAACTTGTTATTGACTGTCCTCTGTATGTACAAAGAAAATTACACAAAGAAGGCATTAAAACGTTGAAAAACCTTGAAGAACGCTGTTCCATTCTGAACATAGAGAATAGAGATAATTTTTCTCTTCTTTTTTTTTTTTTGGAATAAAAGTAATTAGGTTTTTGGTTTTCTGTTTTTGAAATAATTTTATAAACAATATTTCCGCTATGTATATTTTTGTTTTGTTATCTGGTTTTAATAACGTTTTCAAAATTCAAGCCAATTTTTTAAAACTAAAAAAAAAAATTGTTATTTAAGTTATTTTTGTTTTTTAAATTTGATTAAGAATTCAAATTTACTTCTAAAAAAAGTGAAAAATATACCAAGGAAATTGTGAGGAAGCGATAATAATTTTGAAAAACAAAAACCTAAGAACTGAAAATGAAATTGTTATCAAACAAAGCCTTAACTTAATGTAATTAACTCCACAGGTATATCTGAAAGTTTCAAATACTAAGGTTTAGTTTGAGAATGCTTTGGCCGTTAAATAATTGCTCACAATTGTACATTTAGAAAAATCAACTGTAGTGTGAAAGAAAATTAGAGTTTGGAACATTTCAAATTTAAACCTAAAAAATCAGGTGTCAGTGTTTGGTAAATCAATACTAACTTGTCATAATTTAGCAATAATAATGACAGGTTATCTCAATACTTAATATCCAAATTTGATATAAATAGTTATTTATAATTTTATAAAATTTAAATTAGAAAGTTTTTTTCTTTTGTTTTGAAAATAGTTTAAATTACAAATTAATTATTTGATAAGATTAAGAAAACAATTGTTATAAAAAATTGAATCTATTAAGATTTCACTCCAATTAAAATAAAAGATATAAGAAAAATATAGGAGGCAAAAGAAAAAAAACGTGCTTGTTTCAAAAGCGGCTAATGTGTTGATAATCATTTCGTTTTTAGTTTTGTGAAATTTCATTAGCTAGTTTTTCACGTCTCTTGAAAATTTGACCTAAAATTTGAAAACTTGTTTTTTCAACTTTCAAAACTTGACCTAAAATTTGAAAATGTTTACAAAAATTATATAACAAAACAAAGAAACACATATGTAAAAATAATGTTTCTAAGCTTAATTTTTAAAAAATAGAAAACCAAAAATGAAATGGCTATCAAATGGGACCTTAAATAACCAGTTTTATGAGACACTCTAAGCATTTAAAATTCTCTCATAATTACTTTTAAGTACTGAAAAAGCAATCCCAAACTAGAAGTTCTTAAAGAAGGTTCAATTCCCACTCTTCCCAAATCACTGAGCAGTGAGCATGAAAAATGTTCAAAATCTGCCTAAATTTTCCCACCTTTCTATCAGGGGGATAGTAATGATCACAAAAAGCAACTTAACTTCGACTTTTTAATTCAACAAAATATGCAACAAAAAGGATTCTCTTTTTATGAAATTTTGTTGAAAATACATATGCCAATAACAATAAGTATGTTCCACACAAATTTTCTTAACATAAAGTTCAAAGAAGGGGTAAATTTTGGCATATGTGTTGCTTCAATTGCTAGTGAACTTTAAGAAAAAAAAAATGTTATTTTCATACTAATTATCATATGCCACACAAAGGTTAAAGTTCGGATTTCAGAAGTTTTAAGTATTAATTAACATATTTTTACATACTAAAATGTGAAATTCAAATTCATGTGACAAATAGATAGATCAAGTTACAAGTAAAAGTATGAGGTTGTCAACCAAAAAATAGTGCCATAAAAACCAACATCAATCATGGGTAGGAAGGTATAAATACCGCATTTTCATCATTTTCTGAAGACTGAGATTTTTCAGATTTCTTTGAACCAACTAAAGCTTTGAACCATTTTCCTGAAACACCCATGGTCATTCAACAGTGTCGACTACAAACAGACCAACCACTAGAAACTGTGGTTCAAAGAGAACTCATCAGGGAAGAAAACCAGAATGTAAATCCTGCAGAAAGAAACATAGTTCAACAGCCAAGGAATATTGGACAAACTGGACAATTACATGGTAACTTCTTCCCACATTGGCCAAATGAAAAAGAAAAAGAAAAAACTCTGAAGTTAATGTGAAAAGGCACTAACCTCAATTTGGATCACCAATCTTTCGATGTTTACTTCGAAATCAAACAGCTTTGCCACTTCAGTGCAGTCAATTAAGTTCATTTCAGTTGCACCACGATTCCGAACTTCCCAGAATTCTTGCAACCTGCAGAAGATGAAATTTACCATTAAAAACATTCCCACCACATTACAGATAGAGATAAAATAAAATTTTTAAATTTCAAAACATCCAGTTAACTACTAACAAAGGAACATAAGTAACTTTCACACCATAACAACATCAAGAAGAAACAAAAGAGCCAGCATTTGGAACAGAATTTGAAATGAAATAACTGATCTTGATCCATAAGCACCTGAAATTACATCATCTCATTTCCAGTAACATCAAGCTCCAGCCCATAAAGTTAAAAACTCGTAATATTGTGAACACAAACACAACAGCCTCAGGATATGACACAATGCAAGTTCTGATATCATCAACTCTATCCTCCCATTTGCATGCTTCACTCATGATGAAGAGTAATGATATCAGGTGTGTAATCTGACCCAAGAAAAGGATTACCAAAGGCAAACTTCATAGGCATGCATGAATGGTGAACTTCAATTCTGAAAGAATAATACAGAGCCCTAATCTAGTGCAAGCAAACAGCAATTTGGCTTGTTTCTGAACCACATTTATGAGGAAGTAGGACAAACAAACACACTCCCAGTAGACTTAAAAACACTTAATACTTCTCCAATAAAAATCCATAGTTAAACCCCCAAATGCAAATTCCATCTTCCGACACAATTTAAGCTGCTAAATTGAACATCAAACAGAGTATAACACCAGACCCACAATCAAACATCACCATAGTAGATACAAGAACCCAAAACATCACTTTCAAAATGCTCGAGCAATGCAAGTAGGAAAACCAACAATACCCTTTTAGAAATGAACAAAAATAGGATCAGAACGAGAGTTTAAAGTAACACAAACAGTATAGTAGCCAAACCAGAGCAGATCCACAAAAATTATAGGCCAAATTAGACAAATTGACCAGAGAACTCAGTTCATAGTGAGTGGAAGGAAGTTCAAGAGCAAGAAAGTCAATGGGGGAAGTGGGAAATACCTTGGGAGCCGTCTGATCCATCAATCAGTCAAAATTAGTCAACCCCAACTCACCCTCAATCATTTGGGTCACCAAAAATTTGTCAAATTGGTTGAAGCTTGGTCACTCTAGACTCATTCTATCCACCACCCACCATTTGTTTCAGCAAAACGAGGTCCGTCATCTTCAACCTGATAAAAAGAAGTGAGAAGGACAACGTGAAAAGCGATTAAAAGTATAAATACAAACAAGAAAAATACCCGCTCGGGCAAATTTGAGCGAGAGGGTGTGGAAACCGCCTACGTACGACGCCGTTTTGAGTGGAGAGAGAGCCAATCACGGGACGTGGAAGATCAGTAGCGTCCCACGGAAATGAATTCGGGTGAGAGCCCACGCCCGGCTTTCATGATTGGACGCACGTTAGTTCCAAGTCTTGTCCTTTTTCATTTTTTATTACCCTCACCCAATTTGTTCTTATACTTGTTTAAATTTTCAAAACTAAAGAGAAAAGTTTGATGTGTAGATCCATTTTTAGAATCACTTGTAACCAAATTTATTTTTAATCAAGTTTTAAAAGAGCAATATGGAATAAAACGTCTTAACGGTTGAATTAAGCTTGTGTTGGTTTACTTTAAAATGTATAATAATATGTGAGATACGAAATATGTTCAGGTTGTGTGTTTTTTATTACACTGTTCAATTATTGATATAATTTGTTTTCGGTTAAAAATTAGTTTCATATTTACTTTTATTGGTTCAAAATTTCCTAAACTAAATAACATTGGATTATTGGTTTAACCAAAAACTACAAAATTGAACTAATGATCATAGCATCGTGAGATGAAATTCTCTCTCATTTCTCACTTGAGAGAGAGTAAATTAGTGGTTTTCTGATGATTAACTTAAACAATAAAGTTTCACACTCTCCTTAGTTCAAAGAACATACTTATACTTAGATCTTACATATGTTATTCACTAAAAACAAATATAGAGCAAACTTTTGAATAATGGATGTTAATGGATGTTTTTTGGAAAAATCATAAAAAATCATAAAAACATTTAAATTTGAATAATTATTTCATCATTTTGAAATAAGTTAAAAATTCATATTCTACGTCCACTTTAGTAATTTTTTATTGATTTTTCTTATATTTGTCCATTTTTTTTGATACAATGAAAATGTTGATTTCTTATCTATTAATAGGTTTTGGATTCACCCGACCTACTACGATAAATGCTTGTCAAAAGACATTTGTAATAAATCACGTGGAGAATTCAATTTATTATTTTATGAATTTTAGGTCTTTATTGGACAACAAATAGTTTTGAATTTCACGATTTGTTTAAAATCATGAAACTCATGAACATATATGGACATATAGAAATATTAATGAAAATGTCGACATATCGACCAAACTTAATACCTTGATTATAACATACACATGAAAGTGACAAATGATTCAGAGATCTAATAAGTTGACAACTAGATTCATGATTAATAACTCCAAGAAATAGAGTTATCACACCCGGTAAACTTATAGGGGTGTTTGGTTCACATTTTAAAATGAGGGAAGGTTAGTTAAGACGAATCTATGTTTATTTGATAGTTTTGGAAACTCATATTTGCTACAGTAAATGTTATTATACTGTCCAATTTGCTATAGTACTCTTTATCTTTATCCATACTCTTAGGTTAAATATTTTAACCCGAGCTAAGCTCAGGTTGGCAACAAGTTCGTTTAATATATTTTGTACGATTAATTAATTAAACTATTTTGATTATTTTTGGTTGAAGTTAACAGCTTTTACATAATTATTATTTAAAACGTATTAACTTTTTAATAAATATATTGACTAATTCAAAAAAAAAATAAACTGATGTAATTTGAATGATAATTAATAAATAAATTTAGTTAGCATAGCAAAAAATGAACGCATAATTAAATAAATCACTGAAAGCGTATTAACTTTTTAATAAATATATTGACTAATTCAAAAAAAGAATAAACTGATGTAATTTGAATGATAATTAATAAATAAATTTAGTTAGCATAGCAAAAAATGAAGGTATAATTAAATAAATCACTGATAACATTTATTTTGGGTTGAATTACATGTAAAATAAATTCGTATAAAATAAATAAATATTTATTTTTTAAAATAATTATTAAAAAAATTGGGCGAAGAAATATATTAAATTACTTTTATTATACTGGAAGTCAAACCCAAATTTCATAAGAAAACAAAATTTTAAAATATTTTTTTAAAAAAATAATTTTAATCATCTCAATCAAATTAATATATGAAATATCTATTATTTATCAAAAATTCTAAATTTACCAACTAAACACAATTTTAATAAACTCAAGTTTAACAAAGTAACATCCAAACACAGGTTTGTTTAACCAACTTATTTTCTACTTATAAACTCATACTTAACAAACTCGAGTTTAATAAACGTAAGCAAACCTGTGAGTCAAACACTCCTATAACGTTTAAATTATTATCGAGATTAGCCTTATGAGTCGTCAAGCTTGTTGTCACCCCATTTTCCTATACAGTAACTACCTTTATGCAGTCTTAATTTAATCTCTAGATTGACTAGCAAAGGAATATCGATCATAAAATCTCCTTTATGTCTTAGATAGCAATGTTCTTCCTCATAAAGTCTCACTATGTCTTAGATAGCAATGTTTTTACAATTTTCACAACAGTTATAAACTGTCATAAATTTACAAAAATCCGTAAATCAGTATTTTTTCTACCAAATTTGTGCCTTTACCGTTCGTAACAATTTATTTTTTTCCAGCATCTTTTACTATTCACAACTCTCATAGAAACCTAATTTTCTAGTAGAGATATTTCTTGGCTTAGTAGTTCTTTAAACCTCTTACACACCTTGTAGATTCGAGATAAAGTTTAAATAATTCTATAGAATTGATGACTTAAGTACACAACATAACAAAAATAAACTAAGGACATGTTTAATAACATTCATGTTTCTTGTTTCTCATTTCTCATTTCTCATTTGTTGTTTCTCATTTCTTCATTTTCAATAAAGAAAATAAAACTACACCTTTGGTAACTATTTCTTTTTATTGTTCTTTCCTTTTTATTAAAAAAAAAAAGATGTTGGTAACTATTTCTTGTTTCAGGTCCTCTAGAATTTTAGATTAGAAAAAATTAAAAGTTTTATATTAAATTTAAATTTTCAAATTAAATATAAATTTTTTTATGTCACTTTGTGATATTTATTATATATTTTAAAAAAATGATAATATAATATTTTTATCTATATTTTCTGAAAAAATGAAAATTAAAAACAAGAAGAAGAACAAAATTTTTGATTTCATTATTTTTAAAATTTTGACACAATTTTGAAATCATTTTTTAAAAATGAGAAATTAAAAACATGAATAATTACGAAACAATTATGTTTCTTAAAAACTAAAAACGAAAATAAAAAAAATAAAAAATAGGAATGTTACTGAACAACCCTTAGTGACTTTTCATCTCTTTCTCGAACTTTAAATAGTAATTCTAGCTAGCTATACTCACACACACTTCAATATGACTTCCAATGTTGGCTTTAGTTGAAGACCTCATGATATCTACCACGAAGAAATTTAGTTCAAAGTTATATGTATGAAATGGTTGATAGTTGTCCTACTTTAATGGTGAGTTTTGGAAACAAAAAAATAATAATAATAAATAAAGCATTTCTTATATTAAGTAGGCTTGAAAGAAGCCCTAATCAAGTATTTATATTAAAAATACTTTTGTCATAGAAAGTGTTGAGTTTGTAAGGTAATTGCAAACAAAGTCGTGACTAGGGAAGGAGGTGAACATGATATATAAGATAAGACAATTATCTTCATTGATTTGAGGCTTTTTGGGTGGAACAAAAAAAAGCGATGAGGACTATGCTAAAAGCGGACAATATCATACAATTGTAGAGATAGTGAGGTACTTTGGATACCGTTGTCTTTAACAAAAAGTACATTCCAAATCAAAATCATCACATAATGTTTAGAAGTGATTTACAAGTGCTTATAAAAAACCACTTAAAGTACTTTGCGAGAAAATACTTATAGAGTATTTTTGACCTAAATGCGTGTTAGAATACTTAAAAACAATTTTACGAGTGTAGAATCAAGTATCAAGATGATTTGTCTTTAAACATTTTTTTCACTAAAATGCTAATAATAATAAAAGTACTTTTATAAAAAATTACGTATTTCAAAAGCACTCCCAAACACGCTTTTATTTATTTAATTTTCGAGTTTTTAAATCATTTTTTATATCCAACTAGGACGCTATGAAAATTTTGAAAAATACCTTTAATGGGGTTAAAAGTGGTTTTTTACCCTTTCAGCAATTCATTGCAAGTTTGTCGTGGCACAATTTTGGCTGCTTTATTGATGTCTATAATGATTCAGAGAAAAAACCATCCAACTTTTTCAAAACTACACTATAAAAATTAAAGAAGGAAAACGATAAAGGAAACTACAGAAGAAAAATTAAGACAAAACTCCCAACTACTATATATTCTTCACGAAAGGAACAAAAAGCAGCCTTTTTTCTTTTTCCATCTAATTTTCTCATTTCTTTTTTTGCCTTAGCTGCTTCCTCCTCTCTTTCTTCTTAATAAAATATGCTGTCTATTTCTCTCAAAATTATGCACACAAAGATTCCTCCACTTTTCCAGCAAATCATGTTGGTCAACCAAGTTTGTCCGGTGGTCGCATCGTGTAATATAATTCATTGTTTAGGTGGGGTGAAGCCAAACAACCATAGATTAGCTTAGGCGTAATTCGATCATTATGGTAAAGATATTTATTATGTCAATATTTAGCTATACTTTCTATTCGTGGATTAAATTGAGTTGGGTTAAATTAGTTTTTTTAGACTCTAACTCAATTATTCAAGTTGTAAATTTATTCAACACTAACAACTCTTATTAAATAATGAACTCAACCTATGTACCCAATCATAAAATATTTGGGTATTCGAATTATTCGAATGACTCATTCAAAATATTATAGGACAAAAAAAAAATGGTAATATATAAATATTTTTTATATATTTTATAACATTGAATCAAGATCTATAACTCAATGTTTATTTATATGGTAAAAAATAAATTACACTCCCAAAATTTAAAAAGTTATTTTTAAAATTTGTGGGTGAA